GGTCGCATTTGTTAGCGGTCCTTTTATAGTTAAACAAATGTTTTTAAGAAAATGTCTTCCTCTTCTAAAAATTAAACTTTTCGAATTTAGGCGACAATCCAAAATCTACAATGGTCATACGGACTTGCGCTCTAGACTCAGGAACACTTACAGCCGACACCGGTTTGAGCCTACGTTGTTGCTGCCATTGTGTACCTTTCCGTCTCAAGCAGTAACAAATTTTTTTTTTTTTGCAGAAATAGTACGAATTTCAAGCTGCTCCCCATTCAAATTTCGTGGCAAACAGTACAATGGATGTGTCCAGTCTTGCGATACAGATGGCTGTAATCGTGCAACCAGTACAGAAATCAGCTTTTCTTTATATCTCTTAATCTCAGCTTTACTGATATATATGTTCTGTAAATGTAATGACTGCACTTACTCCTAGCATCAAACTGTTTTGGCCAAATCACCTCTCCTGTATTTGAGATTCAATAGTAATGATGGCACAAATTATCGGGTAACCAAAAAATGATAAAAATTCAAACGCAAAGTCCCTAATTCTTCTAAATCAGTGTCACTAGTACAGGGAAATGATGTTTTTAAATAACATATTTATGTGCTTCACAGCATTCAGAGTACCTCGAGGAACTCTGTTAAAGAGGGATGGACAGGTGACACATATACCTTGTAGTGCGGTAACAGACCACGGAGTTCTAAAGACACCGGACAATCATCAGACAGGTACCCGTTTCCTGATATCAGCAAATTATGCCACCGATCTGTAAACTCATTCTTCGACTATTTCTTTTGCTCAGCAACAGTTTTCGTCTGTGAACAATAACAAAGTGGACACCTCTCAAAAATTTTATAAAAGCAACGTATACCTCCCATGGCGAATAAAAGAACGAGAAAAGGAAAGCACCAAGGAAAAATACATACAATAATGCAAATTCCGCGTCACTTCCCTTCAAAACAACTACAATCAAGCCAAAGCTAAACTCTCAACGCAATTAAGCAAAAAATTTATCCCTTAACGTACAGCGAAAAAAAATTCACGTGAAAAGCAATTTATTTTCCAGAGAACAATTAGGGATAAGCTGCAAATGTGTAGTTCATTAACCAATGTCCTGTAATCAAGAAAAGATTTTTTTCAAATCATATACTGCCATTTCTACAGGAATACATGGCAATATTCAATTGTTCTCGCATGTTTATCTGCTCTCTGTTTTTGATTACGAATGGAGAACCGAGTGCTCGGACCTGCACTACGATTCTCAACTTAGACGCTTATTAATTAGGAATTTAGAAAGGAAGTCAGCAAAAGAATTGTAACTGTACAAAGATACAAAATACGTTCGACAAAATGGACAATTTTTCATCAGAAAACACCTAACTAGTCAATGTTATCTTCTTAAAAACCTTTTCGGTCACATTGTGCGATCAAAGGTTATAATAACCGAAAAAAACTTGGGTTTATTAAAAGCTGCACTTAACTTCTGATTTATGTGTAATACGTGAACTATTTTAAAATAATGAAGAAACAACACTGATACAATTCGTCGCTGCATCAAAGGTTTGGAACCTCACAAGCACCTTATGTAGTCTTCTCGTGTGTTTCTGCCTTACCGCATTTCAAGAACGGTACCTTCTCTCCAATCCTGAAATGCAAACAGTTAATGAAACAAAAAATTGAAGTGCCTCCTTCTACATCATTAGTAGATGAGCACTAAATAATAATACGAAAAAACTGTTCCCCTCCTTGAAACTTATTCTTTATTACTTGGTCTGCAACTACATATATCCCTGAACAATTTGAATGATTGTTTTAAAAACCAGGTTCAATGAGGAAAACGAAGAAAACTTACATTTTTGATACTTCTTCTAGTTTCGATTTTATGATTGCTAGGTTCGCATCTATAGGCTCTTGGTACACTTCATAGACTTTTGGAACCGTGAATATACCCAAAACAACTGCAAACAGAATTAAATCAAAATTCTTACTAAAAACTTTAAGAAATTCACTTAAACCAGCTTGCCGGGAAAAAAACCATTGATTAGCTCGTCGCTGCACAACATCTCTTTTTTTTATTCCCAAAGTTTAGATAAAAAACAAATAATTAAAATACGCCTAATCAGGTTGAATATATAGTGTGTGGCCAAGAAATGATGACGAGCCATACCACTTATATAGCAAACCAAAATTATCCACCCTAACATAGATCATAATTCAGAATTTGAAACCACTTACGCATAGTTAAAAGACAAAACCCCGAAAACCACGATCCGACATAAGTGAGCGCCCACAACAGGAGACCGAACTAAATCAAATTCAATTCAGCTCACATAAAAGAAAAACGCTGAAACCACTATAACCATTAGAAAAGAAAAAAAAATCAGACTTTCGAAAAAGCATCTCAACCTTAACACTATCACACATGTTTTCGACAAGTATAAGGCGTCTCAGCTCGACAGCCATGTGTTTTAAGTGTTCAGCTATAATATCGGCTTGCTGGTGTACCTTATCCTCCTGGATTTCAATTTTGTGATCCAAATACGGTCTGTAATTATGATTGATGACAAATAAACATACAGATGAGAAAACACCAGAAACCAACTTACTGGAAAGGATTTGGTGCATCTTTGTTCTTTATTCGCGCCTCAACAAGTCTGTAAACTCTGAAGCAGAACGTTCCACCGAGCACAGCTAATCCGAGATAACTGAACACCAAAATCAGTGGATATGTTGCCAGAACGTAGAGCGCAATAAGGGTAATGACCAAGACAACGGCAGATTTCTTGCGATCACGCCAGTAAAGCAAATCCAAAACTAAAGGAAACCTTCTTAAAGGAGATTCACTACTTACAGTCTCAAAAAAGGATAGAAAAGGAAAAGGCCTGCGAGTAATAATAAAAATTACGGTAGTCAAAATACATAAATAAGCTAAACAGACACTAGTCTCGCTGATCTTCAACTTATTCCAGTGCATGTCCTAAACGGTAATAACAATGCTGAGTTCCCCACCAAACTGTTATTGCAACGAACGAAGTGTATAATGACTGCTCGCAAAAATGTCACACGACTCTTGGATGGTTACTTGAGTCACAGAAGGTATTTAAATCTATGGAAGTCACTTTGATAATACGTCAGCCAGCTTCAGTAACATCCTCTGAGGTTGGTATAGTAACCAGGTATCATAGACGCGCAGTAAGTTTACCATGCTCATCGCCAAACTCGGACAGATAAACGCTGCGCTACTCATTGACTATGTTAATATGCCGAACCTTTCCAAAAAACGGCCACAACAAATGTTCTCCTTTCCATTGTAAATTTAAATACAAAGATTTACTAAACAATAAAACTACAAAGCCTCTAACAACTTTTTAAATGAAAAGTGCAACAATCTAGTTCAATTGCTCAAACATGCTGAACACTGTGATGTGATTACGGTTTCCGACTACAAACTAACATTTCGTGCTCATAACACTGAAGAAACTCCGAACTCCAATGCTCCAAAAAACTCCACTTCTCTCACCTCCATCACTAACAAGTTTGATTTGAATAAAGTTTAAAAAAAGAAATGGAAATAGAAGACAATTCTCGCCTGTTCGGTACTTTATCATAGTATGAATAAGTGTTACTAGAGTACACTGAATCAACAAAATGTTAGTCATGAAAATTGATAAAGCTCTAAACAAACAGTAAGACCCCCCCTCCCCCCCCAATGCTATGTGGAATCTTCACATAAAGCTATTAAGAGTGATAATTACCAGAAGCAACGCAGTAAAGTAATACCACTACCTTCATAACAACTTCTTTAAACTTAAATTCACTTGCATCCCACGTCAGTCTAACAAATAAAACTGAAGAAACCAAAACGTCAAGCTCCAGACAAACATTCTCAACGCGCGCCACTTCGCCTCGTCTCACCTTTCAAATCTCCTCAAATCAAAAAATAAAAAAACAACTCCTCTGTAATTTACCTTTGCTCGGACTCTGAATTTACTATAACACAAGAAGAGATTCACCTAATCTTGGCTGACAAGCCTCAGCTACCAATCATAAGAAAAAAAATTTTGTTTGACAAAATTAACCACCAAAATTCCAAAGCGACTAGCTGTTCTTCTTCATCTCAAAGCCAACGAATTTAATTACTGCTGCAGCTGATGCTGACAAATAACGTTAGAAAACCACAATTGAAAAAATTGCTACAGAGCGCAAAAAGAGCTAACACCTGCCAATGTTTAAGAAAAAAGGCTGGTGGTCAGCGTAAAATCTATCACTTCTACAGCGAAGTACTCCTCAAAACATAACAGCTATAAATCAAAGTAAAAATTACACTCACAATTTCCTCTCATCTCTCCCAGTTGAACGTCTTTCTAGAATCAACAATAATACGCAATCCAGATGACATAAGGATATCATCAAAAGCTACCACAAATGTCTACAGCGCAATGAAAGAATATCCCCTGCACAGTACCACCAACTAGCTTCTTGAAGACGTAATAAATATGCTAAGTCTTCGCAGTACTAAGGTAAACCAGAAGCTTTAAATAACCATGAAAGTTTTCCAAAAGATGTCAAAGACCTTATAATAATAATGACATCCGACGTCCCCAAAATACGAAGAAACTGCAAAGCAGAAGGCAACAGTTTGCAGATTTTCCGTTCATTGGCAAAACTGGTAAAACAACACCAGAAAAATAAATTCTATTTAATAATTTTCAACAATGTCCCAGAAAGAGACTAAATTTGAAAAACTGTGCCACGTTTACATCCATTACACTGTTCAAAAATAAACAGCTTTGCAGACAAAAGGCAGAAAAAATGCACATTAAATTAGAGAAGCATTACCTCTTCCAACAAAATCGGTTGCCGGTACCCAGGTTTTTACTGATTTCAGACTACCTCGTCTACCTTTTGTCTGAGACATGTTAAACTGAAGCTACGTATGCACTCTACAAAATCCTTCCTTTATGCCCGAGCCGACGTACGTGATCGACAACACTGTATAAATAGAGACGGCCCACTATACCATGTATTGTCGAGATATATTAAACAATCACGACTAACGGCCGCTGCCTATATACAAATATATCTATCCATTTGCAGAGAACACAGTGTACAAAACAGAAAATGCAAGACAGAAGGGCAAAGCCAATTGAATAACCGCTTCAAAGCGATGCACTACGACACATCGAGCTGCAGCGACAGCGGTACTGAAATCGCTGAGGCCTGTAGGAAAGTACTTCAACTGGTTCCATTCCACTACAACACTACCTTTACATTTCTTGCTACGCCGGTGCTCTCTGCGCCTCTTTACTAAGTCCGCTCCCCTCCTTTTACTTTCCTTACATCCAAACCGTCAAGTCCTTTCCCATCACTGTAAGGTTCAACAGAACAGACCAAGTTCAAGGGCGAACTGTTACAATGAAATCACCTCTCTAAAAAACGAAAACGATAACTGCCCAGTCGATGACAGCCTAACCTGCAGATTACTCAACTATTTCGCAAAAAACAATCGAATCTCGGAAAAGAAGAGCTGGTTAAAACGAAATGATTCAACTGAAGTCAACACTATACAAGTCAACTGGTTTGAAGACAGTCCATTTTAAGAAAATTCTTAGAATTTTGATAAAGCTACGTTATAATTTAAAAAAGCCCTACCAGCAAAACTTAACGTCCCTTCAAATTGAAGTGCTGTAACATCCAGTTATTTTTTGACAGAAATTCAAGTCTTCGATACCCTCTATTGCCTTCACCAACTTTTTTTTTTCATAGTTGAGTCTTTTTTCATGGAGTCCTTGGAACCGATCAAAATGATTTCGTGACTGAGAAACAACAAGAAAAAAGAAAAAGATTTCGGTTCTCTCGAATAAAACGCTTCTCCAAGGCGTGAATCAGAAGTTTAAACAAAACTTTTCCACTTACAATGTTTAAATTACGCCATTCCAAAAACAATAATATGACAATTACGTATGACAGATTTTTCTACTTCTCTAGTTGTCTACTAAAATCCACTTCAGACACTCGTAACTAATCAGAACCTCAGATCGAAAAACCACTAACTGTCACTATTTTTGAGTCATGGGAAGTATACTTCACTTTTCAACTGAATACTTCTACACCTAAATTGCTTCAAAAGGGCTTAAAATTTAAACCTCAACAAAAAAGTTAAACACCCAAAACTCCGATATCCGGAACAATGAATTGGAAATAAAAAGAACTTAAGTGCGCGTCACCTAAGTGCCGTAGTAGGCTTTAAGCGAAAACAAGTAAGATTTCCTGAGCAATTTGAAATATAAGTCGTGCCAATAAAAAAATTTCAAGAAATTTCAAAAACACCACTTACATTTACTGAACAGCGAATTTGAAAAATAAGCTAAAATTAAGAAAATTAACCGTATGCAACAGTTAAAAGGTGATAAGAAAACATGAAACTTATATACCAGTAAAATAATAGTAGTCTAAGGCAGCAGACCATTACGTAGTACATTAGCGATGGCTACTAAGAACGACAGTTATTTCCTTCAATAAATCATCAAGCTTAAAACTAATCAATTTTGTTTCCGAGTATCCTTTGCCAGTAATAATCACTGTCTAAGGCAGCAACAATAATTTTATTCCTACTAATTCATGACTTACTTCATAAAAATTAAAAGTCAAAACTGAACTATAATTAAAATCACCCTGTTAAATACAATTAAGAAATCTCGTAATTACAAATGGGTTGAGAAGTGTACTAAAGTATGCATGCTAAAAACCTTCAAAGGACTCAAAAAGCCTTTGTTTCACATATTATTTACCTTAATCAAAACAAGTAATAAAACGCTTTTCTTCTAATAACGACCCTCCAACTGGTAGATTTCAATGAGTAACGAACAGCACTAATAAAAGCCCGAAAAAATATTTAAAAAAAAAAGAAAAAATAATGGTTAATCTTATTCCTTCAAGTTAAGCTACTACAATATTAACTAATAAACATACCTCTCTTTCTTTGCTTGAGAGCACCTGCACTGAAATTTCCAACAGAATACAGGGTTATGCACACGGAAGCCACCAGACCAATTGTTATTGTAAGGCGAAAAATATTCCGGCATAAAAACGAAAAAAGTGAAAAAATTCCCCGAATTATAGTTGAGTCGCCGGAATCTTCAGAACCCATTGCTGACAATTACAACCTCAAAACGTGCTGCCGCCGACGATGCAAACTCAACTTCACACCAATCTTAAATACACTGCTAAAGAAAACATCCAAATAGAACGCCGTGTCAAATGCGTACGTCAACTTCTCAAGAAAATAAGCTGATAAAAGTAAATGAAAAATCCGTTCCCCAACCATGAAAAACACTACATCTTCATTCAAACATGCAACTATAGCATACCTTTTGAAAACAATGAATCTTCGCTAAAACAAATTATATACTATTTGCAAAACTATACTATTACACTCAATTATAAGGCATTGCATACTACCACGTTCCTAAACATATTGACAAATAAATCTTAAAGTTTAGTGTTTAAAAAACTACCACGCACCCAATGATATCCATGCCAACTCGCACACATACTGACGATAACAAACTAAACATTTTAGGGTATAAAAGTTTTTAATGCTCTTCGGCATCCCTTTAACTTTTCTTACCAAACCCGTCGTTCCTTCTCATTTTTCAATTTTCTCTTTTAAAAAATAAAAACAAAAAAGTTCAATAAAACAGGATTTCTGAAGTTGATTGAAAAAAGATATACGTTAAGCAACAATAATTTTGATCACATCAACTCAACCTCTTCTAATTCATTCACTTGCTTAAATCTTTGAATAAGTGACAAAATTCATCTCAAAATCGAAACAAAATTAATAAAACAGAAGTGACAAACAAAGTTGAACAAAAAACTGTAGTTGAAAAAAAGAATTGAGGTTACAAAAATTTTGCTGCAAGCATAAGAATCTTTGCAAAAGCGCATTAAAAAACTGACCAATTCATCAGGTAGTGGCAAAAAAAAAAAA